TTTTTTTTTTTTTAGTGACAATAATTTAACTTATTAAAACTGGATCAACTCTTGAATAAAATAAAATTTTGTACAGTATTAAAAAACGACATTAATTAATGGGTATGTAATTCGGTTCACGTATGTATTTGTCAAACTGGTCTCACGTCTTGTAAACGAGAAAAAGAGAATTTACGTTAGCTGTGGTGACGTTTTTTTAAAAAGTCGTGTCGCTGAAACGAACACGATGACGATTATACTCGTTAAACAATTGAATTTTTTTCCTTTGAAAAATCAATAACTTTGTTGTTGCAACTCGATTAATATTAATCAACTAGATCTATCAACGAAGTGTAAAATTTATTAAAAGCAGAGAAATAAAGATAAAAGGAACAGGGAAAAATTTACAATACATTGTAGCACAAGTTTCTGTTTATACATTTTACTAAAAAGAAAACTCATTCGAGTCTCTGAAAATACACTGTTACAAATATATATAATAAAATTTCCATGAAAAATAATAAACTGATTCGTCTCGACCATTTTGCTAGTTCTAAGGTTGATAATAATTAATATTAATAGCTAGCAAATATTTAGAAACAGCCATGTGAAAGAAGCTAGTATCTGAAAATATTCTGAAACGTCGAAATATGTTTGTACCTTTCACCAAAGAAACTTAATTCAAGTGACAAATTGTAATTACTTTTCTCGCGTGCACGAGTATGTACCAGTCACTCACAGCCAAGAGGTTAAACAACGTTCACTCTGCCCTTCATTTCCAAGTGTAGCGCGCGTAGGCGAATCGCGATGAAAATGTAAATCCGCGAGTGACAACAGCCGGTCGTGATTTGCATCGTCGATAAGCGTAAATGAACAATCCCGATCGTTTCCGATTCGGCTGAAAGAAAAAAAAAAAAAAAAAAAAAGAAAACAGAGAAAAGAAACTGCCTCGCATAATTAGCCGGGGTGATTCGAGCGAGCGCTGTCTGCCCGACTTGTCGGTTAATTCGAGCTCGGTATTAACGCTCGGTGAGCTCATTACGCATTAAAATCAGCCGTAGTCGCCGCTGCGATTGAATTTCCCAGTTTATTAACAGGCACATGCACGCCCTGTTAAATGCACCAGCGTTCACAATGAACACTGCCCACTTAAACGTCCGTCTTCATCCCCACCAATTCTTGCAATCTATCCCCACTCTACTACGCTACCGCCTTACAGCCACGTAAAACATGAAACAAAAGAAGTGATTGTGATTCTTTCGGGCACATATCGATCAAAGTTTGGCAAATTTTTAAATGACAAATACATGTGCAATTTATATGTATCAATAGAATCATGCTATCGTTAGTTTGATATTGATGAAAATTTAACAAGGTTACGTCAAGGTTTATTCAAGGCTTCCATTCAATCATTGATAATTATTGATCGACAATTACTTTCATGAGGATTTCAATAAATTTCCGAGAAATTCAGATTAATCACAATCGTTTGATAATTACTGCTTTGTCGCAATCTATTGCTTCATTTAAGTTTAAATGTACGTGCGCGTTAAATTTATAATAATTTCAATGCATTCGATTCGAAGTGAAATGTTAAGTTTCTTTGCAATGAAATAATGTAGTAAACAATAGCGGTGCTCGCCGCAAGTGACTAGTTGACTTTTTCTTTACGTGCCAATTAGCAGAAACATACCATCCCTCTTAAGCGTCCGCTTTCAATCTCAACTACTTTAGTAGAGGGCACTACTGGTGAAAAGCCGCCGTTTGTACGAAGTACACGCATGACGAAAAAAAGAAAAAAAAGGTATCGTAAGCAATCGAGGTAACAGAGGGCAGCAGAATTTTAGATTCGCGGCGTTTGGCGCGTTTCCAAAATTTGCCGCGATCCCTGGAAACCGTTGTGTCCCAGTTCGACCGGGTGCGCGCCGATGTTTCGTCGAAACGCTGTTTTCCCCGGGAATAAATTCGTTTTCGAGAAACAAAAAACGGCCGCTACGCAGTGGGCACGCGCTTTATTTGTCTGCCGCCTTTGCGTGTCCTCGAAAGAGGATCTGTCACGTTGAAGCGTGACAGAACGACCGGTGCCGTTCTGGGGAATCGGTCGCGGTTTCAGACGTGACGAATGTACATACAAGCGGAGGAGACGGTTCTCACCGCTACGGAATGTCGAACCATGGATGAAAGAAAAATCTGTCGGGCGTATTTTCGAAGGTGAAGTTTGATCATCGTCCTTGGTATTAATATCTGCTTGACTTTTTCTCTTGCCCAACTCCTTACCAATCGGTCGATTCTTTTTCCCGGTTTGCTTCAGCTCGAACGCAGTAATTATTACTTCAGATAAATGGCTGAATTTATAGCTTTTGCCTGCCGTAATATTTATTGCTGAATTCCATTTTTATTGCACAATATAGAGACGATCGTATTCTATTTTTATTAACACGTTCCGTGCCAAGCCATTTTTGCCTTTTTTGTTGTCATTCAGGCCAC